ATGAACTCATCTACATGCACTGACGTACATGAGAAAATGAACGTGGATGGTGCGGAGAGGAAACCTGAGGGGGAGAGGCAATTGACGGTTTCGCTCTTTCAGACTGCGCGACAGGTATTCAGTGATTTTGTTAGGTTTGTCAGGACCATTTTAGCCGAGCGTATGAGGTTTTCGCAGAATAAGGGGGAGAACTAGCCACTCTCTGAAAAGCAGAAGACACGAAAAACACAAAAGCCCATCTTTGTTGTCACAGCTGTAACGAAAGTGGAGTGCTCAGTCTCAAAACCACCCCCAATCTACATTCACATCTTCTCAGCTCACCAAATTTTATCGCCCCGTGTAGGGAAAATTGTGGCGGCATACTTCCCTGGAATCATCGGGACTACGGGATGAGCTCAAAAGATTGGAATGGTGTTCTAAACCCAACTGACTGTTTCAGTCCATTAGGGACAGTTCGTAGCCTTCGTAAATTCACTTTCACTGTGCGAATACTAGGCTCCATCAGCGGCAGTTCCTCTGGCATGGTATCTATTTTACCGGTCATTTGCAGGGGCAGGATAAAAAACATTATAAATAATTGAAGCAAACGTTCTTATCCAATTTTTATACCTGAATGACAACGAATTTTTCGAAAATGTCGTTCAAATGAGGGAAAGAAGTTACCTCGGACCAATAAGTAATGTTTAGGTAATAGCTGTGGGATTCTCGTAAGGCGAATAAGTGGTTTTATTCAAGTTTTTCACCAAACATTCATATCCGACTCCTGATCGGTTATCTAGCGTGTTTTATTCTCTGGTGTGCTTAACTGTACCACCAAAAATTTGTAGCTTCACACATCTATAGGCGAAAAATTCGTAGAAGAGGAAATTTTACGGACATGGCCAGCGGCTCGACGCACAATGAATTTTTCTGCAAAACCCCTGCGGGTGAAATAAAAACTTTAACGTCAAAATGTTGCGCTTCTTTGCATATATGCTCAGACTGAAAACCCCCCTCATCTCCCGTCAATTTTTTGCGATTTGTTTTAATCAATCGCTTTTGAAAATTATTGGCGCACATTCGGCTTTGA